TACCTGTGTTTGTGTCTCTTACCTGTGTTTGTGTCTCTTACCTGTGTTTGTGTCTCTTACCTGTGTCTCTTACCTGTGTTTGTGTCTCTTACCTGTGTCTCTTACCTGTGTCTGTGTCTCTTACCTGTGTTTGTGTCTCTTACCTGTGTCTCTTACCTGTGTCTGTGTCTCTTACCTGTGTTTGTGTCTCTTACCTGTGTCTCTTACCTGTGTCTCTTACCTGTGTTTGTGTCTCTTACCTGTGTTTGTGTCTCTTACCTGTGTCTCTTACCTGTGTCTCTTACCTGTGTTTGTGTCTCTTACCTGTGTTTGTGTCACTTACCTGTGTTTGTGTCTCTTACCTGTGTTTGTGTCTCTTACCTGTGTCTCTTACCTGTGTTTGTGTCTCTTACCTGTGTTTGTGTCTCTTACCTGTGTTTGTGTCTCTTACCTGTTTTTGTCCCTCCAGGTGAGAACTGTAATCGAGGCGCGGCATTGGGTGCTCTGCTGGGGGCGGGGGGGGCATTCAGAGGGGGCGGGGTCCCAGAGGAGTGGAGAGAGGAGCTTAGAGATGCCAGAGAGACCATCCCTCTCATCCTGAAGAACATCAGATAACACGCTCCTATTGGCCGGGGCTCCAACACTCTGAACGTGATAAGCTAAGGGGCGGGACTTCTGTAAGATGTTGACCAATCACAACAGAGCTAATCAGAAAATGTATGAAATAAAATGTTTTTTTTGTATTAATAAAATGATTTGCTCTGATTATGTTTGTTTGTTAGTTTTTAAATTATTAAAAAATAAAGACTATTTAAATCTATTTAAATGTCTCTGAGATGTTATTTATTGGATTTTAAATATAATAATTAAAATATTATTTCAGTGTTTTTTTACTTTTAAATGTTGTAGAAAAAGGAATCAATACGTAGAATATTACTAATACACTATTAATATTCTCTGATGTGTTTAAGTGAATGAAATAAATAATGTAAATATTTTTAAACCAAATGCATTGTTAGATAAATTCATAGTATTCTAGGCATTGAGGACATCATGGGATGTACTGTACATCTGAACACTAAGGTGGTTATTTAGGGGATTTTATTTTGAAAATTAGAATTAGCTGTGTGTCTAAATATAATGTATTCTTCTTTTATTTGAAAGACATGTTTAAAGTTTCCATTTATCCTTCTTTAAATAAAGTCAAATGAACGTGAAACATCAGGAGAAAAGCTGAATATAAAGAGTGGGGGTTTCAGAGTACTTCAGGACTCGTGTGCTCAGAGGCTCTCGGAGCGTTTCTGTTTTTCTGACCTTTGATCAGATCAAACATGGCGTCCGTCCGCTCAGACACCAGCCGACTCTTCTTCCTCCTCATCGTCGCTATCCCAGCATGCACTGGGCTTCCTGGAGGTCAGTCTTCTTCTTCTTCTTCTTCTTCTTCTTCTTCTTCTTCTTCTTCTTCTTCTTCTTCTTGTAAATCCTCTCTCCTCTGCTGCTGCTGCTGCTGCTGCTTTGAGCTACGTAAGCATGTTAGCTCACGTAAACATCGAGCTGTTCGGAGTTCCTGTTGAAACAAAGGTCAGGTTTAATGTTCCAGCATTAGCACTATTGTTAGCTTAGCATAAGATATCTGGATTGTCGTCATATTAGAGTAAAAGCTAGCTAGACCCATCCGTGAAAAGGGCGCCCAAGCGGACAACAGATTCAAAAAGTAACGTCCGAACAAAACAGCTAAATATTACACAAATGTAAGAAAAAAATAAATAATGTCACAATTAACAAACAGCAACATAAGGCTAACGTACCAATTACCACAATAAAAGCATGTTATTGGTTAAGATCCGAACCCTTCAGTCCACCTCCTCTTCTTCTGTGTTTGTAATAAAGGCGGTGTGTTTGTTAGCCGCCCCGAGGCTAGCGTCTTCCTGCACCGTGCGCGGCGTGCTAACTATTTGTTCGAGGAGCTGCGGCGCGGCAACGTGGAGCGCGAGTGTTACGAAGAGAAATGTTCGTACGAAGAGGCAAAGGAAATCTACGCTCTGCCGCAACAGCTGGTGAGAACACGATGACTTCACATTTATCTCGTTAAGTTTCTGACGCTAACTTTACGATGTTTTTATCTCGTTAAGTTTGTGACGCTAACTCTACGATGTCTTAATCTCGTTAAGTTTCCGATGCTAACTTTACAATGTTTTTATGTCGCTAACTTTACAATGTTTTCATCTCGTTAACAGACGCTAACGATGTTTCTTTCTCTACGCAGGAAGCTTTCTGGAGGCGCTACACAGGTCGGGTAATAATGTACTTCGGGTCACTGTTACTCACTGAAGTCCTGTACTTCCTGTCCCTGAAACTGTACTTCCTTTCCCTGAAGTCCTGTACTTCCTGTCCCTGAAGCCCTGTACGTCCTATCCCTGAAGTCCTGTAATTCCTGTCCCTGTACTTCCTGTCTGCAGCGGTGGATCACTGCCAGTCGTCGCCCTGTAAGAACGGCGCCTCCTGCACTCGTCACCTCAACTCCTACAGCTGCAAATGTCCGCCCAAGTTCCACGGTCACCACTGCGACAAAGGTACATCCGTACGATACGATAACGACAATACTTTAATAGTCAGATGAAGCCTGAAATGCTTCAGACTGACTGGAGCACAGAGGATGCTTCAGGCTGTCTGGAGCACAGAGGATGCTTCAGGCTGTCTGGAGCACAGAGGATGCTTCAGGCTGTCTGGAGCACAGAGGATGCTTCAGGCTGTCTGGAGCACAGAGGATGCTTCAGGACCTTAGTGATCTCCATTAGATGGTAGCAGTTCTGACTGGAGCACAGAGGATGCTTCAGGCTGGCTCACAGAGGATGCTTCAGGCAGACCTTAGTGATCTCCATTAGATGGTAGCAGTTCAGATTCTCTGTTAGAGCACGCTTTGGGTCCAGAGGATGCTGCTGGAGGTTCTCAGGTTATTATGGTCTGTGAGTCAGGAAGTCTCTGAGCAACAATCGATCTCCAGTGTTGGTATCATCTGAACGTCTTCCTGTTTCCTCTTTCTCTCCACAGTCCGTCAGACGTCCAATGGCTGCCGCTACAGGAACGGAGGCTGTGAACATTTCTGTAAAGAGTTTCCGGATCGATCCACGGTGTGTTTCTGCGCTCCGGGGTACCGACTGCATCCGGACAACAGCAGCTGCGAACCCCAAGGTCTGAACAACTGTTACTTCAGACTTCTGGAAGCAACAGCTCTTAGTTTAAAGACAGTCTCTAGTGGAGGTCTATCTTTGGCCGTTATCATCTTGGTCGTTTCCATCTTGGTTTTTATTTGTCAACTGCTTCTTTTTTTGGACCAAGATGTTGACGTCCAACAACCATCTTGGTCTTTGGCTAATTCAGACTTCTGGAGAGAAAAACGCTGTATATTTGTAAAGATAATACGTTCTCTAGTGGGGGTCCAGTTTAGGTAGTCACCATCTTGGTCTTTGGGTTCTGAAATCACCTTCGTTACTTAGATATCCTTAATTGAAACCCAGTGTTGATACAAACCCTGGTCAGGGATTAGTTTGTGTTTACATTAACGTGTCTTTGTGTCTCCGATCAGACGAGGTGGCCTGTGGACGACCTCAGTGGTTCTTCAGCCCCAGGGTGATCAACGGGAAGAACTGCCCCAAAGGACAGTGTCCCTGGCAGGTACGATTATATAATAACTTTCAGACTAAGACTGTGGTATCTCATGTCCCGAGTGTCTAACTGTCTCCTCTCAGGCGCTGCTGACGGAGCATAACGTCTTCACCTGTGGAGCGATCGTCCTCTCTAACCGCTGGGTGTTAACGGCAGCTCACTGCGTCTGGAGAAAACAGGCCCACGTCTTCAACGTCACCGTCGGTAAGACCGGTTCTTAGTCCTCTACCTTTATTTACATATTCTATGTCTTTTCATTCTGTCGTATGCCGAATTCTGTCTTTGTGCCCGAATGAAAAGTGATCTGTACCAGTGGTGTTTCTGTAGTGGTGTGTTAGATCGATAGGAACCACAGGTAAACTAACGGTGTTGTTTCTCAGAGATCGATAGGAACCACAGGTAAACTAACGGTGTTGTTTCCGTGCAGGTGAGCACGACCTGAACGTGGAGGAGCGCACGGAGCAGCGGCGGCGCGTTGTGAAGGTCGTGATCCACCGCGCCTACAACAAGTCGAGCTCTGACAGTGACATTGCGCTGCTGAAGCTGCAGAGGCCCGTGAAGCTAGGACCCCATGTGGTGCCCGTCTGTCTGCCTGCCAGGAATTCGTCCTTCAGCCGGACTCTGGCCAGCGTCAGAGAGTCCACGGTGTCAGGATGGGGTCGAGTGGCTCAACGAGGTCCGGCAGCCGGAGTTCTTCAGCGTCTGGTTCTCCCGAGAGTCCCTCTGCAGGAGTGCCGTCTGCACAGCAATCTGACCATCACTAAGAACATGCTGTGTGCCGGGCTGAAGGCGGGCGGCAGCGACGCCTGCGAGGGCGACAGCGGCGGGCCCCTGGTCACCCGCTACAAGAAGACCTGGTTCCTGACGGGCGTGGTGAGCTGGGGGAAGGGGTGCGCCAACAGGAACCTGTACGGGGTCTACTCCAGGGTCAGCAACTTCCTGGGCTGGATCGAGAGCGTCATGGCCCACTACTGACAGAGAGGCTAACAGAAGCTAAAGCTAATGCTACACAGATTTAATATAGTATGTCCAGAAGCTAGAGCTAATGCTATGAAAGTGCACTAACATTTAAGTTTGATGTTGATTTGTAAACCGAGACGCTGAGATGTGATAACGTTGATTATTCTTCATGTACAAAAATAAAACTGTTACTGATGCTGCTGATGTTTTTATTTATGTTCTTTCAAATATAAATATTATATAAATTAATATATTTATCATTCTTCATCATGCAGAGGAGTTAAATACTGTATTTAGAAATAAGAAAGAATATATTTGAAATGTGATCAGCGGAACTGGTTTGATGTTCGTTATCTCGTGACGTATTGAAGGCAAACAGCAGCTTGTGTGGTCTTTGTCATTGGGACATGTGATCGATGGGGTTTGGGGGGGGGTGGACTCTGGACCTCCATTAGCTCCACAGAGAGGCTCCTGTCTGATGAACCATGAAGCTCAGAGTCTTCTTCATCTTCGTCTTCAGCGTCTCCGGCTGCCGGGCGGCTTCAGGTGAGGACGACCTGTCAGACTCTGATTACAGGAAGTACTCCAGTGTTTATACTGTGCTGTAAAGGGGGGTTTAGCCTGTTAGCATGGGTAGCATCAAGGTACAGCTGGGAGGTAAAGCAGCGCGGTCACATGACTTCATGTCACATCCGCTAAGCTAAAGGCGGCTAACGCAACCTCTGTTTCTAAATCCACCAGTAGGTGATTTACTGACGTATTTACTGACGCAGTTACTGACATATTTACTGACATAGTTACTGACGTAGTTACTGACATAGTTACTGACGCAGTTACTGACGTAGTTACTGACATATTTACTGACGCAGTTACTGACGTAGTTACTGACGCAGTTACTGACGTATTTACTGACATAGTTACTGACGCAGTTACTGACATAGTTACTGACGTATTTACTGACGCAGTTACTGACGTATTTACTGACGCAGTTAC